TTTCGGATATTGGGTAGCAGCGCGCAAGTGACGCTTAGAGGCGTCCGTGACGGCGAGCGCCGCGTTTAGCGAGAATTCGAGAGCTGCATTAGCCACCGGCAGTTTGTGATATATTTAGTGAAACAAATTAAAAAAATGGTTGTTATTCAAATTAAAAAAAGAGAAGAAAGAGAGAGAGAGAGAGAGAGAGAGAGAGAGAGAGAGAAAGAGAAAGAGAGAAGAGAAGCGCCTAGCGGTTTTACATCCATACACCTACATACCAAAAGGATTTGGTAGTATAACTGCGCACGCTGCTGAGAGCGACTCGATCCGTATAATACATGAGACTAAATCTCATAGGGCATTCCGTGGTAGATGATGAGCAGGAAGTTGTTCCTTTCGGAAGTTTTTTGTGGTCTCCGCAGTTTCAGATAATATTTGAAACGAGCAGCCTGGAATTTGCATTGAGACAATTTGACGATCAAAACCGACATTCTATGTAAAATAATAATTTCTTAAACTTGAAAAGAAATCTTTGTTAAAAGTAATTTTTAAGAAATAGCTACGCCTCAAGTAAATTCATTTAGTAAGCATTGAGATTTTTATTCTGGAGTTTTATAATTTTTGAACTTCAAAATCCCTTTGCAAATCGAAGGAATTGAAAGTGTCACTTTATTAAAATTATCGCTTTTAAAATGGCACCTTCGGTTCGTCGACGCTTATTGTTTGAAATTGAGGCTCGGACAACAAAATGCTTCTTTGAAAAGGTAACGGGCACTATCAACCTACCAACTTAATGTTGTTTATTATTAACACAACAATTTTATATACATCAAGCCATTTCTATTCATTACGATACATAATTTTTTATAACGGATTCAGCAACGCAGATTAAACCACCGTACCATCTTACGTCGCCGGCCTCCTCTTAGCAGCGTCGACCGCCGTGTATAACTAATTGTAAATTTTAGGTATTACCGCGCGTATAATAAGGAAAAAAAAGCGATAAAGTGAGAATGAGGCGAACTATCGTGGTGGAGAGGAGGAATAAGAAGATAAAACAAAAATGATAATACACATAACAACACACACACTATATATATATTGTAATATTATTTTTCGAACATAGTAATGTAATGTAGAATATAATATATATATTATATATATATTATATATATATATTATCGTATCGTAACGATCATTTCGTATAGCGCTAGGCTGGACGAGGTGTTTTTTGGAGGTTTAAGAGAATTAATTAAGGTGGGCCAGAAAAAAAAAGCGGGCGGGCGTGCCGAGCGGCGCGAGGTCACACTGATATTTTTACCAAGTTTTTCGAATATATTGGAGATCCCCTCCCCACGATTCCTATATAATGAGAACTTAAATGTATCCTCGCGCCACTGCCGCCTCCGCGCCATTTATTAGCGTACACCCGCCGACCAGTCGTCGAAATTCGATTCGAGCTCACGTCGTGTTCAACCTCGTACAAATGTGGAAGCAGACGACATATAAAACAGCACACTATAACTTATAACATATATAAACGTGCGTATATGAACGACAGCATAAATGATACGACTGATCGCTATGCTTATTCCGAAACAGCGGTCTTTAAGATTATAGCTTCTAATGTATAATTAATTGATCTTCATTATACATTGAGGGAGCAATTGACGTTCTTTTTAACAAAAATCTAAATTTCGCATTTTAAACCGAAGATACATTGGTCTCTGTTTGTTTCACGGTAATGAATTGCAGCGAAGATGCAAAATTGTGCCATCTGTTTGTAGAATAGATTAAACACAAAAAAAATGATATATTTTTTAAGTAGATATATAAAAGTTATAAAAATATATTTTATTGCAGATAGATATATATCCGAGTTCTTGTGTATAGATACAATTTTCACACGAGATAACACAATTGTCTGTCCTAATTTCAAAATGTTTCTTGCCATAACTCTAATTCGGCAATTACTTGAAATCGAGTCTGTGTCGGTTGTTCCCGTCCTATAATAAAGTACAATTAGGCAATACTAATGGAACAGAAAATAATAGATGAAACGCATCTGTTGCAGTTCAATAATTTTGAATTATTGACGACTGGCCTGCGGAGAAATTTTCAATTTGTCGCGTCGAAGATCGAAACGATGTAATCGGAGGTAACACGGTGAACGAAATCGATGTTGAACGAAGCGTCGTCGGAGCGATCCCTGTCTAATTACGGCGTTTCCTTCTTCGCGTGCGACGCGTGCGTATCTTAATTTTTCATTGTTCACAGAAGGAACGAAGAATCGAAACAGAGAAAGAGGTGTGTACAGTGGGAATGATTGGCTGCTATAATAATGAGTAAAAAAAAAAAGGAAAGTCAAAACTCACTCCCCCGTTCCCTGATCCCGCCTTCCTCTCTTCCCTTCGTCACCTACTTTTGAACCCATCACTTTTGAAAACTCCTCGAGTGTCAGCCCGATATGGACAACATAAAGCGAGATGTTTCCCGACGGCGAGAAAAACGACTGTGTAAATTTTTGCGAGGACTAATGTAATACGTAAAAAAAAAGAAGAAAATGAAAATGTTTAACTAATACGTTGTGTTTTAACATACTTATCGGAGAATTATTGGTTGTCGAATGTGCGCCCTACAAAAATTCAAAACTTACGACGAGTTGCGGCTGAGATAGACTTCTTCCTTTCGTTTTTGTTTTTATATGCAGTTGTTATTCGATGTTTTGTTGTACGAATATGCTGGCATGTTGAAATCGTGGATGAGAACCAAGAGTCGCGAAGCTGGACATATCTATTTTTTGCGAGGCGCAATCCGCTCGTTGCGGCGTTTAAGTTTCGCATGTTCAGCCACACTGCATTAAAACCGCTCGCGACAACCTGTTTTGTCCCGTCGTCATTCCCCCCCGAGCGAATTCGACCTGGCGGTTTTATTTAGCGCAGCAATATTTCGTACAATGCAGGCAGACCGTCGTAAAGCTTGTCGCAACGGTACGAGCAGATTGCGCGTCGCTTTTAATAGAGAAGAGAAGTAACTATACGGACTAGAGGAAAATTAACATTGTGATGTTCATTGATCAAATATGTCAAAAGAAGAAGGCCCACTGGTTGAGGCCCGACATTTCTGAGTACACTATAAATAATAAATATTATGTAAAATTTATTGAATACTGTGCACATTTCATTACATCACCTTATATCCTTTATACACAAAATGTCTTTGATGATAAACGACAAATAAAAGAAAATTAATGATTATTCTGAATTTCTGCAGCTTTAACGATTTATTGAAAATTAAGGTGTAATCTAATTTTGAAGAAATCTTTTTTAAAGCAATATCGAGAACCGGCTAAACTTTTTGTTAAAAAAATTAAAATATGAATAAAAAGTACAAATTTAAAACAGAGAAAGCTAAGAAATATTAAAAAAGGAGCATTAATAATAATAAGTATAGCAACCACAGCTTTCACAGAAGACGTAATAAAAATAGAAAATAGGAACATTAGCAACAATAATCATTGGATAAAGGTAACAATAGCCTGCTCAGTTTGCCGAAGGCTATCTGAACCGAGGATCAACTGAAGAGGACTTCAGCAGAGATCAAAATTGGTATTGGAATTTGCAGCCAAATATAATTATATTTGTACTTTAAAATTTGATCAGGCTTATGCGCAACAATGCACCAGATTCGTACTAGCCGTCGATTTGATAACTACAACAATATATTTACAAGGTAAACAAATAAATTTGTTTAAATCATATCAAAATATAAAAGCTTTCGAGTCAGTCACTAAATCTGTACATGAAAAATATAATATAATAAGTTTGAAACATTTGACATGTCTTCCCTTTTCTTCCATTTATTTTAATGAAGAGAAATCTTGTCGTCTTCGCGGCAGTGAAAAATTGCGATGACCGATCCTCTCTTAGAGTGTTTCTTTACAAAAAACAGTGCCGTCAGTTTCGGCGTAAATGTCGTGGAATTTATATTCACGGCGACGATATTTCACGGAGTATCAGATGTCACGTTCGTTGCGAATTGCATTACGGACGCTTAGCTACGCTGCTCTACGGCGAGATGAATGTGCAGGCGTTCCGACGCGACGTTTGAAGGAAACACATGTACGCGGCGAGCGGCCAATCGCGGCCGGTCGAATGTGCGCCGCGAAGTAATATACAGCGCGCATTCACCGCGAATGCACGATAGCAATAAGCGATAAAGCCGCGATTGCGCACTGTTGGGAAAACAGCTCTCGCCATTTTCGCTACGTGAAAATCCATCCTGAGGCTGGCCGACAGTGACGCGGTCTGAGATGGACAATACAGGCAGAATTTTTTTTCCGTCGAGGTAGATAGAAGAAAAATATGTATAAGAGTGACAATTGCAGGTTTATGTAATCTTCAATGAAATACAAAAAAATTATAGGCGTTAAAATATTCTTTTTCGTAATAGAAAAGCTGGGTACTATTATAAAGCGAGCAATTATGCTGAATGTACATGTGCACCTGTGTGTACAAGTCTCTTAAATTTTCAAGATTTTTATAAAAGAAACTAACGTTTATTTCTATTCTATTGCTGGTGTATAGTAAAAATGTTTAATGTATATACGAAAAATGTTTAATGTTGTCTACGAAAGTGTTTGATTAGTGCGGTTTTCAATGCAAGATCCAAAGTTCATGCTTTTCTAGAGTCCAATTATCTCTCTGCTAAAAGAGACGAATTTTATTGAATTCTTTTTAAAAATGAATTTATGTGTGTAGAAATTGATTTGTATTTTCTATCAATTTTCGAAAGACGTAATCTATAGTTACCGAAATAAAAATATTAATGCGCTGTGCTATTTTAAAGTCACAGGACAAATTTGAAATGTCGGAAAGCTTTAATTTATGCAAATTTATAGCTGAGAAATAATAAACTCTCATCATCAAATAGACCATCGGTATCATTATCAGCGCGCAGTTTCACAGAGCAAAGGGGACTTTTGCGAAGGCGGTTGGCAGGTCTGGCTCGTTCTACTTGGCCTACTCTCCGTGTGTTCCGCATGGGTTTTCGCAATCGCCGCGCGGAATCGCGGTAAAAACTCGCGATTACGTTCACGATCGATTAGGCTCGGGCAGCGCGGCTAATGAATCTGGTGTGTGACGATGCAAGGCGCTACGATCAGCAATCCGTTGCTGAGCGTCCTGCCGATCGCGTGTAATTGACTCCGAGGCGTTGTGAAAATCGGAGCGACCGTCGTCGGAGCGGACGGTCGCCGCGGAGTGCTTTCCCTGAAAAATGTGGCGGTGCTCACGACGAAAAGCGTCACTCCGTGCGAACGAGTACGACGTTGTCGAGGAACGGTTGGCGGAAGACTCGAAGTGTCCGACGTGCTTCCTCGACTTGAGACCTCGCGAGAATTCGCGTGCGGTCGCGTGCGCATACGTGCGCAACGGTGCACGCATAATTGGTGCACGGCGGGCTGTTCATGCGGGCATCCCTTCTGTCAGTCGAAGTGGGTGAGACACCTGATTCCGATCGCTGGATAGACGCTTTAGACGTTTCTTCTCCAGTGGTAGCAGCGAACCTCTCATTTGGTTATTGACGATCATTCTTCCGCGTTGTAAACTGTCTTACCGAGTTCCTGTGTTGAAATTTCGTGATCATAGAATTTAAAGCCGCTTTCTTTAGTGGATTTATCGTTATAGAACTCGCTCACTTATCTCGGTCACGACGATCTGCTGATCGAAATATTTTGAAAATATTTCTGAATGAGTTTTATTAAATATTTCTTTCTTGTGAACGTGACGACTACCGCAATTATCGTATAGTAAATAAATAATTGAAAGCTGTTTTGTGAAAAAATGTGTTTATTTAAATGTGCAAAAGGATTTAAACATTATTAAACTGAGAGAACTTGCACATTGTACAACAGGTACTGCATTAATTTTTATTAGTGAACAAAGCATGATATATTACTTATAATTTATAGATAAAAATTATTATTTATTTATTTAATTTTTGTAAGTCGTCAGTAATTATACGCTGAAACGTTTATATAAATATTTACAAATTTAATTGAATATAATAACATAATTTGAGTTTGTAAAAGAAGTATCTATGATAAGTAATTTGTTGATTTTTTTGTTTAGTTATGTGACTACTTGATTTTATAATAATATATGATATTAATAAATAATCGAAGTTTTTATACAAAAATGTAAAAGATGTTTAATGTATAATTATTTAATAATTATAAAGTATAAAGACATTTATGTGTATAATTATTTAATAATAATAATTTAAAAGTCATCTTTTACCTGCAAGAATTTGGTTTTAAATTTTATTATTTTTTCTTTAGCTATTTATTAATTAGAAATTAATTTACTTAATTAATTAACTTAATTTAGAAATACATAAGTGCACAAACTATTATAAGTACATAAAAAATATTTTCAAAGCAATAAGTAGTTGAAGTTTCGAAATATAATTTTAGATTTTTTTTTAATTGAAATTTGTTTTAATTATAATTGTGCTCTTTTAATATTACATTTGTGTTACATTTAGTAATTTTTTACAAAATATAAAAAATAATATCATTAAATAACAAATATATTTAACATAAATACATTTCTATGTCAGTGTTCTTATTCTTTTTGTAGAAGCAGTAGTAGCATAAGCTATCAGCTTATAAGAAAACGAATCATTGTATTAACTTTATTTCTTCAAGAAGTTTTGCCATATTAAATTAAAGAACACTGTTTGCCTTCAGCGACATCATGGACGATGATATTGATGATAAAGATGATACAAAGCGGTAAGAATATTACACATTAAAAATTCTTACACAACTTATTTAATGTTTGTCGTGATAAACATTAAGCGTATAAATGTTTGCCTTCCAGAAAATCGCGTAATCTCAGCGAAAAGAAACGCAGAGATCAATTTAACATGCTTGTGAACGAGCTCGGTAGTATGGTTAGTGCCAATACACGAAAAATGGATAAATCCACGGTGCTAAAATCGACAATTTTATTTTTAAAGAATCATAATGGTAGGTGAAAGATTCTTTATACAGCGCTTTATTTGAAACTAAAATATCTTTTTAAATATTTTTAATTGGGATTGTTAAGAATTATTAAACTCTAGTAAATGATTAAATGGATCAATTTTGTTTCGGATAATATTATTTGATAAACTTTTAATTATTTTTCGGAATTATGATATATATAATTGCTTACTTTCAGAGATAGCAGTTAGGTCGAGAGTCCATGAGATTCAAGAAGACTGGAAACCGTCTTTCCTTTCTAACGAAGAATTTACTCATCTTATATTAGAGGTAACATTATATACACAATGATAAGACTAACTGTAAGATAAACCTTGTAATATTGTTGGAATATTTATTAATATATAAACGTTTATATAAATATAGGCGTTGGACGGATTTATAATGGTTTTTTCTTCAAACGGGCATATTTATTACGTCTCCGAAAGTATTACGTCTTTGCTTGGATATCTTCCAAACGAATTGGAGAACACGACCATTTATGATATAACGTATCAAGAGGATCAGCCGAATTTATACAATATTCTACTGAATCCTGAAAGCACACGAGACAGACACAGTATGAAAAAAGGTACTATTTGTAGTTGTTCTAAATTAGAAGATTTGTGTGACTTTTTTTTATTAAATAAAATTTTTTCTATATTGACAGATGACCAAATTTCTTTTACGTGTCACATCAAAAGGGGCGGACTCGATTTCCGGGAAGAATCTATTTACGAACTTGTACAGTTTATTGGCTACTTTCGTGAGTGAAATATCTCGAAACTTTTAAATTTGCTAAATAATTTTATATGCTAAAATTAACTTTATTGAACTGCTTTATATTTAAAACCGAGTATTATCAAACAATATTGCGTTATTACAGGTTCTGCTATGGACAGCGATGTTGACAATCTGTTGCCAAGTCAGAAACTTAGTAACACAAGCGGATTAGATAACAAGTATTGTTCTCAGCAGTATACAAAAGGTATAAAAATAAAATCGCATAGTTGTGTATTCACGCTTAATTTTGCAGATTGGTGTTCGTGGGTACGGGGCGTTTGCAAACTCCTCAACTCATCCGAGAATTATCCGTGACGGATAGTACGAAGTCAGAATTCACATCTCGCCACAGCCTCGAATGGAAATTTCTATTCTTAGATCACAGAGCTCCGCCGATTATTGGATATCTGCCTTTTGAAGTTTTAGGCACTTCTGGTTACGATTATTATCACGTGGACGACTTAGACAATGTAGTTACGTGCCATGAATCACGTGAGTGTTTGAAAAAGTGCAATCGATCATGTGATTGATTATTAATCGTGTCATCTTTTTTAGTGATGCAGAAAGGCGAGGGAACGTCTTGCTACTATAGATTCCTCACGAAAGGCCAGCAATGGATTTGGCTGCAGACTAGATTCTACATCACCTACAATCAGTGGAATTCGAAACCTGAATTTATCGTGTGCACGCATTACGTGGTCAGTTACGTCGACGTAATGAAGGTATCGCGCGCGGAATCGGGGGATTACGATAAAACGCAAAATCAGGACGTGTTACTACCCGTAAAACAGGTAAGACGATAGTTGACATGCAATTATAGAATTTCATAATTATTAATATTAATCATATGAGATCAAATAAATGTGCGTATTTATAAATGCAAGGAACGGAGGTTTTGAAACAGATTTTGTTATTAAAAAATGATTACATTATTATTAAAAAACTTTATATTAAAATTATACAAAATTTATGCAGATTAAATGTTTAATGGACATTATTTTAAACAATTCATATTGGTCAATATCTTGATAGTAAATTGATTTTACTTACATATTTATTTTGGACATATCCAGATAGCACGCATGCCCAAAATCGGGACATAAAACGTCTTTAAGGTGAGAATTTATGGAAAGACGAAATTATTGTTAAGATATCTTATGTTCTGATTTTGGACATGCGTGTTGTCTGAGTAAACTTCATTGCATTTATATTGACGTATTGAAGAATATTGTGGATAAAATATTTGGTATAAGAAAAGCAGACAGAATTAAACAATGCAATAGAAAAGCAAAAATAATATTTAAGACTTAAAATAACTAAATAAAAAAAAATGTTTACAAAAATTTTATAAAAAAGAGAAATAGAAGAAAAAGAATTCTTTTTTATGTATGCAATATCTATAATATTATTAGGATTTAGACTTTGTGTATTTGCGTGTATGTATTACATTTATATTTGATTAATACTTTTACGCAGGTAATGACATCTTGTCAAACACCGTTAACGCAATGGTCTAACAAATCGTCGAGAACGTCGAAGTCGATGACAGCTTCCAATATCCGACATCGCGGTGACGGTTCTAATACATCCTCAATATCCGTTTCGTTACGAAGTTCACCACACTCGCAAATAACGCATGGATCAAGATCGAACGCAGCTTCTGCAAGCAGTTCTGTTGTGTCGAAGCCGATAGCATCGGTTGATAGCAGCAGGCAACAGCAACAAACGCAACAGCAGCAACAACAGCAGCAACAGCAGCAGCAGCAGCAGCAGCAGCAGCAGCAGCAACAACAACAACCACAGCAGCAGCCGCAACATCAGCTCGATGTTAATCAGTCGTGTATTAATTTTATGGATCCCGCGCAATACGCAACGGTTAATCTACAATCGGTCGTTACAACAGGATTTGCAACTCCTGCTGCTCCAATTTTGTCAACCGTACCTACCCATGAGGTAATAAAAAAAGAAATAATTGGCAACATTAATATTAATTGTATATTTGCTATGTATTATTGCATAATTATATAAAACGTTCGATTTTATGTTCTAATCGCATTTGAAGTATGTACAATTTTTACAATTGCGAATGATTAATTATTCGACTTGTATCTCCAATATTTTGACATCATAAGTACTTGCACATAGTTTAATTATATTTATGAAAATCTTTATTATATTTTATTATATTTTTCCAGATGTTACATCAGCAGGGTATAGTAATGACACCTGCGCAAAATCAAATACAAGATGAATTACAACGGAAACACGAAGAGTTACAACAATTGATTGTTCATCAGCAGGAAGAATTAAGAAGGGTCTCAGAACAATTATTTATCGCTCGATATGGGATTCTCACTCCATTATTAAATGTTTGTATATCTTAAATTATATATATTTATTAAATAAGAAATTATATATCAAATTTTAATTTTAGGTGATTATTTTTCTTTGAGACATGCGTTTATCTATTTGAATGTTTTTTATAAATTACTTTTTAATCATCTATTAAATTTTATCTACTAAGTTTTATCTACTAAAATTGAAGTTAAAATTAGAGTTATTCAATTAAATTCTGCTTAAAGAGATATTAAAAGGCTGAATTGATATTTATATTTCAGGCTGGTATACCGTATAATCCATCGAACCCGTGTCAACAAGCAAACCGTTGTAATACCAATAATACTAACGTGCAGTTACCCGCATCCAATAGCGTACAAGGCGTGAATGTGCTTCCCATACCAATTACCGTGCCAGTGCCTATAGTGCCTACGGAATTATTTTCGCATTCCTTACAAGTGAATTCGTCGCCAGGCTCGACGCATGGCAATGTGGGCGCTATAATTCAAACTCAACAGCAACAGCAGCATCCACAATTGCAACATCAGCAGCAACAACAACAACAACAACAGCAACAACAGGGGCCATCGCAGCAGGAAAGTAGCAATTCCGATCTCGTGCCTTTCCAGATCTGTCCACAGCAGGCCGAGATGATCTATAGTAACATGGAGGCGTCCTCGAACAGCAAAGATCATCGCAAAATTAAAAAAGATTTTTATTTTTGATATTCTAATTGTATCCAAGTGAGTAAAAATTGTGTACTTCTAAGCTTAGAATTCTTCCAAATTTTTTTTTCTCTTTAAAAGATTTTTTCTTGAAAATCTTTAAAAAAGTCTATTTTATTTATTTATTGCCATGAAGAAATTGGCAGATATCTAATGTCAAGTGCAAATGCATTGTTGTTCTACTTTTTCTTTTTTTCTTAAAAAAAATTGAAATTTTTGTAAAAATTGTTGTATGTTGCGAATGTATAAAAATATTTTAAGAAATTATAATAAGCGCATTTGTGTGATAGCAGCAGATATTGCATAAAATGTAACAGAACTTCGGTATTTTAGTACAATAGTGTGCAATTTTTAACATATTGACTACTTGCCATTCTACAATTGTACATTTGTTTATAATTACATCTTTGTTTTTTTGTGCGAATCTATATATATATATATATATACAGAGTCTTATACGTAATATATTATATCTTTTAATTTTACTTTCAAGAAACTCTTAAACTATGAGGGAGGCAATGTAAAGTAAAGTATTATTGTGCCACGAAATATGTATATTACATAAAAAGAATTTATAAAAATTAATTACACAAGAATTATAAAATGATATCTAAAAGAAGTAAATTTTGATAAGAAAAAATAATTTCTACTTATGTTAGAATACAATTTTTATTTAAATTCTAATAATTTTTCTAAATTAATTATTACCGTCTACAACAGTACTACTATTTTCTTTGTATAATTATCTAATATAAATTTTTATATTTTGCTTTATTTGCCTCCCTTCCGTATCGAAAATGTTATTTATATTTTTACAAAGAAGATATAGGGATTATATATAAAGAAGAAAGTGATTTTTAAATTACAAAATTATTTTGGAAAATGTTTAAATAATTAAATATTTTTAAGAGTTACCTACTGCATTATTATATGTGTATATTGTATAAAATTACAAATAACAAAATTCTTTACAATATCTGTGAATGCTAAACGTACTGAGAGAATCTATGCATTTATCGAACAAAGAAGAGGATATTACTAAAAAAATAAAAATTTATTATATTTAACGTAAAATTTTTATGTGAATTTTGATAAAATTTCTTGAGAATAATTTAATAATTTTGATAAAGAGTAAAGCATTTTTATAGCAAGAAGTAAGAGAGCTATGATCAAAAGAACACATCACGTTTATGTATATTTATTGAATTTATTTTGCTAATAAATGTCAAAGTCAACGGAGAAGGGACCAATCTCCACGTTTTACGGAACAGGGTGTATTCCATATATTTGTATATCGGTATAGTGAAAAAAGTAATATATATTTTGTGGTATATGTATAATGTTATCATTTTCTTACATATCTGATGTATTATAATATAGATGTATGTTAGATTGTGCTATAACATTATATAATTGTTGCTCGATAGAAATATCGTCATAGAACAAAAAAACGTAAAAAAATCGATCAAACTACAGTGTGACATGCGATCAAGTTGATATAATGACAATATTCTTCAAATGACGTAAAATATAAAACATAAAATTAATATATAGATTGACATAAATAATTTTCGGCAAAAATTATTTATATAATTGACAATTTCATATCAGCGTACAATAGAATTTAAAATAAATGTACATTAAATAATTAATTTTTGAGAATTTAAGAAGTGTGTACAAGTTTCTACTGTTCCTAAATAATTCTTCAATAATTCTTTTCTTTTGTCAATGTAAATTTGCTACTTTTAACAAAAATATACATGATGTACAATATTTATTTAATATATTGAAATTGAAAAAACACTCCAAATCGTTTTATTGTCTTTCTTAACAGTAATGATCCTTTTGATGTATATAAATTACACTAAGTATATTATTATAAAAATAAAATTTCTTTCTTAATCTATAAAACAATATTTTTCATTGTTTACGTATTACCTTAATTAAAAAGAAGAAAGAAAAAAAGAAAGAGAGAAAGAAAGAAAGAAAGAAAGAAAGAAAAGTAAGAATAACAATTGGATTGAAATTAATTTTAAGGATGCAATTTTCTTAACGCATCTGTCAAAATTTGTACTTCCTGATTCACGTTATTTACAAGAGCTTCCACTTGCTGTTTACTGTCGATGATGCTGATACTCTGCGTATAAGGATCGTATCTCACTCCGAATTTTCTCGGTATGCTTTGAGCAAATTTTCTAAAAATTAAAATTTTTAAAAATTCATTATTTTTTTCGTTTAACATTAACGATTCCTTTCGCGTTTATTTGGAACGGTTACTCAAATTGTGAATTTGCATAATAACTACAAACAAAAGTGCAACATATTTTATACATAACGTGCGTCATATTTGACGTGCGATACGCGTTATATTTTGCACAAAGTGCGTTACATCTTTGCGTCAAATGCTAATATTACATACAATGTAAAGAAAACAAGTGTTGACCTGGGGCAAGATAGATAAGAATGAGTTTGTTCGACACATTTATTATTATCCCTGTACTTACGTCATCTTTTCTTTTGCGTCCTCAAAGTCTTCGGCAACAAAGTATACGGGCTGATATTCCGTTATCGGATATTTTTGCAACGCAGTCTTTGGTGGGTCAAAAGGTCGAAGCTCCGGCTTGCCGCTTAAACAATATTCTAATTCGCCAAAAGATGAGAGTAAACCAGCACCATATGCCTTTAATTCTCCATTTTGTCGGCATATTCCGAATTCCACCGTAAACCAGAAACACTATAAAAACAAGTTTAATTATGAGTGAACTTAATTTAATATTACTATTTATTTTTTATTTTTCTAAGTAATAGAATTTTTTTATTTTATTTTCCTATTGTTAATAAACTTTGATATTATTAAAAACTACATAGATTAATAATAATAGCATATAGTTTCATAATTTTTAGATATTTTTATAAGAGAATATTTATTACATATTTAAAGTATTACGACTAATGTATTTTATAATTTTATGACTACAATATTATATTCTTTAAATTTGAGCAAGATATTTTATATACCGTTGCAAGTTTCTCTATATATTCGTCCGGAGCACCAAGGGATGCCAAACCTATAACTTGTGAGAACTGTGCAAAAGCTGGATCGGCGAAGAGTGGCACATGGCCCAAAATCTCGTGACACACATCCGGTTCCGGTGTGTATAGTGGTTTACTGCTATGTCGTATGTATTGCGTGCTGTGAAACACTCTGAAGGCTAATCCAGCTAGAAAATCACGTGAGGATAATAGTCCTGCGACTGGGCGAAGAGTAAAGCCGGTACAATCTGAAAAATCGATTACAAGTTAGAAAGTAGAATTTGATCATGAAAATAAAATTGTACCATTGAATTGCACTATGAACTAGTTAGCAATTTGTCTTTTATGATACAAAAGAAAGGGGAAATTTAAGGCAAAACAAATTTTTTTTATTTTTTACTACGCTATCTGATGTAATTTTAAATCAACTTTCCAAAACTTTCTCTTTTCTATAAATATAGAAATATTAATGAGACGTTACCTTTTAAGAAATTGGATATATCTTCCAATTGGGGTATGTTATCTTTTCGATAGCCGCAATTTTCGATAAGAAGTGGAAAAATGTGATTATGCTCTCTGCATGCGTACTTTGGATAGAGTTTAGTCAAGTTTTTGAAAACTATGCCCCACGTAGCTATTTCTTCAGACGTGTAGTCTACTCTTGGAATAGGTTGTCCGCTAAAATGTAGTGCATATATACAATGTTATGCTTATCTTTGATTTTGTATAAGATATCTCTCTAAATTCTCTGGAGTGAATTTTCACTCTTTTGGAGTGAATCTCACTCCAAAAAATTTAGAGAGATTTTATATTACAATACGATATATCGTGATTCACTCCACTTACTGTTTGTAATGGTAAGCAAGGTCTGCGAAATATTTTCTTCTTTGTCTGTATACAGGATCCGTAAAACCAGGATGATCACTATCAAGTTCGGCACCATAAGACAAAATTTGATTAGCAAACTTATCGAGATCGCGTATTCTTCTTGGAAACCATGGTACTGTGTCCATATTGTCTTTATGATTTCTAAAAAGAAGTTATAATTTACATTTGATTTTATTATTTTGACCACATAAATATTGAATAATTTAAATATGTATAATACGACATGAATGATAAAATGTCTGATTAAATAGATCGCATAATTATAAAGTGATTATAAAAGAAGATGAATTGATAAAGATGACTAAAATCTTATATATTATATAGCAATGTATGATATGCTTTGTATATTATAAGGAACGTAAAAAAAATTATAATGCTAATTTAACCGAAATCATTGAATAATTGTGAAGACACTAAATAATAAGAAATTAATAAATGTATTGAAATTATTCAAAAATAATTAAATAATACTATTTATGACAAGATTATTAGAAATATCAAAAAAATATATTACAGTCTTTTTATTGAAACTGTTCAATCTATTCAAACATCTATTCTCAATTAAGAATTTAGTCTTATCAATGGCTGAGAAATGGTTAAAAACTCTTACCTCGAGATTATCGAAAAGTAGTTACATTGATCTCGTAATGATTCAATTACGGAGGCTATATTACCACCCGGTGCACAATCAACCATAAATTCATAGCCATTTGGTCGTCGAAGAGAACTTCTGGATTCGATGTGCAAAAGATTCACTTTGTGATTCTAAAATAATATGTGCTCTTAACTTATCAATATATTTCAAGATATTCTTCAATTAATGAAATTTTACTTACGACGAAGAGCTGAAGATATTTTCCCAGCGATCCAACTTCATCTTCTTCTTTTGGGGAAAAAATTAAACAGGTGCTTTTAGCCGAATCTCTGCCTTCTTTGATATAATTTCCGCCATGGATCAATTTCGGCTGCCATATATATATTTGAAAATAATTATGATACATTAAATAATACATTAAATATCTTAAATAAATCTTTCTTTTATAAGAATAATTACAATTTATTTTACCATTTGTAGAAATTAATGTATCAATATCTCCATATTATCTTCTATATTCCAATATTTTAAAATATTTTAATAAAAATATAGATGCAATTATTTTAAAGATGTTTTATTGTTATTTATTGCTAATATTTTATTTAAAGGCTGTTATAGAAGTAGACAATTATAATACAAAATTTTTTGTATATATATTAATATTAAAAAATGATCATAAATTTAAAATTAATATAACTTTTTTATTAAAAGACACATACCGTTAATACCATTACAGGCGCCATTATACGATTGAATAATGGCGTGCCTCAAATTCGAATATTCACGTTATCGCGATAGTTAAACTGCAAGGTGAACTGACGGATTAAAAACTACCGTTGAGTGACTTTCCATATATACGGTTGCAAGAACCGCCCCTCCCTTGTTCGAAATCTAATCGAATGATTGATGGAAATCCCGACACGTTGGGAATCTTGATGATATCTGCATACATAATGACTTTCTTATACATGCATAAAAATAGTACGATTGCATGAACAACAAGAAAAACTGTTTGAATAGACGATCAAGTTTTTTTATTATACAGAAAAAGAAGGATAAAATTCCAAATAGTGTAATCCGTGAAAGGTTTTGCATCATTTTAATTATAGAGAACAGTTTGGAAGTCAAGGCCGATTTCTCCTTGTAATTTCCTTGAAATGGAAAGAGTTTATCGTTTCACTGGTATTTATACGTTATACACGTGAGAGAACAGTTATTATATCAAGGGAATTTAAGGGAAAATTCTTAATAATCTTAATAGTGTCAATAATATGCAATATTATAGTTAAAAGTACGTAACACAAGAAATTCCGCTGTTTGATTAATGACGTTGTTTACGAAGACATCCAACATGCAATAATTGATTTTATTTCATCATATTTTCTATGTGTTTAAATATCTATAAATATGTGTGTCGAAAATTGAATTATTATGTCCTTTAAAATTTTACATATCAAATATTTTATCATATACATCGCTTTCGTATGCATCTACGTCATTTAATTACGTCAAACACATGCAGAGCGATAAGTATTGCTTACGTCACGTTTGATGTAATTAATAATGATTAGAATAATTAGCTAATTTGCATGATAAAACTATAATTTAATTACGTTAATCATGTTTAATTTATAAATAAAAAAATATTATTTAAAAAAATAATTGCTTAGTAAAATTTTATTGAAAAATTTTCTTATTAAAATTCTTTATTAAAATTTAATAATACCTTTTTTTAATAACTTTTTATTTAAAAAACTGTATTTTTTTATTTAAATTGCATTAATTCCATATTGATTTATCTTAGAAGCAGCATAGATATTGCACAGAATATATATTTTTCACATGTAAGAAATAGTAAATATCCTGCATTTATATATCAATTTATATATCAATAAAAAATCTTATTATCCGTATTCTTAAATTTATAAATATAAATATTATAAATTTTAAACTGACTGATTAAAATATTTTTATAAATTTATATTATTTCTCTATAATCTATATATACATACATGTATGAATTTATATATTATTATGTATAAATTTAATGTAAATTGTTCTTATTTACAAACCATCTAATGCTTATTATAAACAGCATAGCACAACAGTATAGTACTTTTATTGGTAAAATATAGTCTGCATTTATAAAAAATATAAAATTGTATTACTTTTAAACTAAATATTAATTATAAACCACAAATTTTTTAAATATCTTTATAAATTTATATTGTTTCTCTCTAGGTTTATATTATTATTTATAGTTTAACCATTGTGAAGAGATAAAGAGATTACTTCTATTTATAAATCTTATAAATGTTTTCTTATTTGTTTTGATCAAAGGGTAAGAATATTCAAATATAATAAATGAACTAAATATAGGTAGCATTTGAATTTAAAAAGTAAGTTGTAGGAAAAATTATAATAACTCTTGTTCTTATTATCTAATAATAATAAGTTTATTTACCTTATCTGGAGGTGAGCTGCTAAGGAGTGAGCTGCTATTATCTGCTTCCCCGGCGTTTAAAATTTGTTGACGTGTTTGTGTATACATTGTCACATTCAAAAATTCGAAGTACTGACATCAAATTAACTTTCTCTTGAAATGACTTGATTGTCCTTTATACGTCCAGCGACGCGGAAGAACTGGTGCTTGGAACGGCGTGGCTATCAGTTTTAACAGGTTACTTGGTTGGAAAACATTCTAACGTTGCGAAACAATAAAAGCAATAACGTTGATATATGCAGCTAAAGTGCACTGCAATGGTATATGTCGTAAAGGGTCAAAGGGTTATCAAAAAAATAACGCGCACGATAACGTAATATCATTTACAGGTTTTACGAAATCATTCATCTTTGGCACACTCAAATATTTCTATGTATTTTCTATGTATTTTTTTTACTCACTTTTACTCTTGACATATCACATTCTCATGGCATATGAAACACACTGTATGTGTAAGTTAAATTATTATATCTCTAAAAATTTGACAGCATGATATTTAAATATCTGCACTATGCATGTTATCTAAATATCAATATTTTGAATGTAACTTACTTAATAATATAATAAATTATAATAAATAATTTTTTACTTGATGTTATTAAAGCAACAGCTAAAAGTAAAATGAGTAGATTAGATAAATTCTGATCAGAAATATTGCCTGTGTTTTAAAACATTTAATCCTGCGATCCTTTTCAAAAATACAAACATTTTTAAAATGTTGGAACGTTTTGGATCAAAATTATTAATTCACGTGTTACCTTGCTGGTGCTTTAATAATCTCAGTTACAAAATTGTTTCTTGCTAACTAAGATAAATAGCAATATTTGGATATAATAATTTAAAAAATCTTCAGAGAACACTAATAATTAACGTAAGTGACCAATATGCATTGTCTCGTACGTAATTTATATTGCTCAGACATTAGTTTTAAATTATTTGGATTAAAAAATTTTAGCTTTAAAAACTGCTACTCATGTATTTATAGATCGATATGTGATATAGATGAATATTAGAGACGGCTAATAATCACAAACACACACTACTTTATATATATTATATAATATTCAAACTACTTTTACTTATATAATTTTCGAACTATCATTATAGTATCTTTTACATGAAAATTATATAAATTGTCAATGATATTAGTGTATTATAATAATATTATAATATAAGAGCATTAACTTATATTATATCTAAAAATTACATTATTGATATCAATTTAAATATACTTCAGGATATAAGAAGGATAGATACTTTAAAGTAGATATTTTAATATTTTTTTATTCCCGTTATTACAGTTTGTTATTAAGTCTCGCAATCAAATTATTTAGCATTTGTATGATAACCATTGAATAACATGTGATAAAGTTTATTTTAAAACTATGCAAAATGAGGTTGAATATATAATCTTTTACGTTGTATTTTCTACGTTGTAATCTTCTACGTTGTATTTTACTATAACAGCAAAATTAGTTGCAAAACGGAGATATAACTGCATCATTATTTTGCGTAGAAATAAGATTGCAATATTATTATTGATTTAAGTAATCTTAAAATGTCGTAAATCAATCATAAAGGCGTATTAGCATCTTAAAATATTAAGATAGTCTTAAAAAAGAACGGATTATAAACACCGATCTTAATGTACAAAGTGTATTGCTTAAATTTTTTTGAATATATTTATTTTATAATATTTTACACTTTTCTATTATATTTTTATTTGTCATACCTTTCAAATTGAATTAAGAAAACATTTTACTTTATTAAACGGATTAATTTTAATATCTATATTAATTAATTTTATATACGTATATTGAAACCCAATCAGTCTTATCGTGGAACGTTTGACCCATGCTTCGCTCGGTCATGATGGTAATCTATGGCGGATGTATAAATGTATTACTGAAATATTGTTCAATATTTAATATACTGTGTGTTATTTATAACACACACACACACACACACA